TTTTAATTACTGCCACTGACGAAAGAAATATTCAAGAACAGTAACACGCATTATCTGTTATTATTTCGGAATATTGAGCAACTTCTGCAACTTCGTCGTGATAAATACGAAAGGACCACAACACAAGATAAAGAAATTGAAAGAACTGTACTAAGAACAGAATAAATAACTGTGAACACTTGTTCGGTGGTAAAATACTACATATAGAAAAAAGTGAAGGTGCACATTTAAAATAAAGTGGCGGAAGTACAAGTGCCTGTGAAATAGTGTTACACCGTACAATTTTATCGTTTACATTTTCGTAATTATGCTCCCGGACTAGGTTTTTTCACGATAACAGCGATGATTAGGCTTTTCGCTATATCGTAAGCCGATTTCTCTATGATTTCCATCATTCGTGTCCGAAATTTAGTAACGTAGGTGTCCGTGGCTGTGAAATCGTGCTGCGTAATAGACTTTTTTGGCTTCTATTTAAAAAAATTAGGCTTCTCGATTAGGTTTGCCCCATATATCAGTGTAGAATGGAATGTTCTCTAATGGGATTAGATATTTTTTTTTCGGTTTCGAAAGTGCCTTATCGAGAAATAGTGCTGAATGTGTCAGTGGCTGTGAAATCGTGCTGCGCAATTGACTTTTATCTTTTCTATCTTCGAAATTAGGCTTTTTGATTAGGTTTGTTCTATATATCAGTGTAGAATGGAATGTTCTCTAATGGGATTGGATATTTTTTTTCGGTTTCGAACGTGCCTTTTCGAGAAATAGTGCTGAATGTGTCAGTGGCTGTGAAATCGTGCTGCGCACTTGACTTTTTTGGCCTCTATTTGTGAAATTAGACTTGTGGCTTCGGTTTTTTCTGTATAAGAGCATAGAGTAGGCTCAAAACAATATTCTGTTGAAATAAGCAGACACGTACAACGGTAGAAATGTATTGGACTCATGGAATATGACCAGCATAGAGCCATTAGATGACGAGGATTATATTCTACAGCGAAAAAAAATTGGAGAAGCAATACAAATATATAGGGTTTGATATATCAATTGGATTCCAGGTTGGCTAACAATATGACATAGAAGAGAGAATTCTTCGATGGTGAAATAAAGATTCAGATAATGTAGATGGTTTAGCCAGACAAAAAGGAATAAAATTAATGTAGATAGTGGCCTCTTATAACAAGTTATTAAGTTTCAGATTGATGGGGCTGAGGTATATAAAGAAAAGAGAGGGGTTCGAATGAGAGCAGCGAGAAGAGGAAACACATATTATGCCGAATCAAGAAGCTGCAAAGGGGCAGCATATGTATCAACAGAGAAGGATGTGTGGCATCGACATGCAAATATGAGGATCTTTGAAGAAATGGAAGATGAGCACATGGTAATATTTATAAAAGGTAAAGATAAATTATATGTAGAGACTGAATGGTGCTAAATGATAAATGTATAAAATTAAATCTACTCTGTTACATAGGGAAATATTGTTGACCAGCACTAAGGTGTTATATTTCAGAATGATGGAGCTAAGGTACATAATGAAAAGAAAGAAGTTTGAATGACAGAAAAGAGAAGAAGAAATGCATATTATGTTGAGTCAAGAAACATAAAAGAAGCAGCATATGTATCAAGAGAAAAAGATGTGTTGCATTGACATGGAAATGTGAGAATCATTGAAGAGATGGAGAATGAACAATTGGTAACAGTTATAAAAGTTAAGGATAAATTGAATATAGAGTTTAAATATTGAATTAAGGCACATATGTGTAGAAATATCTATAGGGAGTTGGAAACTTTAAAAGCGGCAGGAATAATGGGGCTGTAACACATGGAATTGATTGAGCCAGTGAAGTCAATGCTAAAAGGACATAAAGGTATGTCTTACCTGTTGATGATTATTTGAGAAAAGAACAATTTGGTTGACTGATTTATAAATGACTAAAAATTTAATGTAAAATATTGACGATGGATCTTTTTTATTATAGGAATCTCACAAACATGAGTAATATTTATATGTAAGAGCCAGTCACTAAGGGTAATGTAGTAAGTATTAGTTAATAATGTTTCAATAGATTGTATATCTGTTTTTAAAAATTTAACCGATATACAATATTTACTTTCAAAATTTCTATATTAACATATTAAATAATTTCTAATTTGAATTGCAATAATAAATAATAAATTTTAATAAATTTGATTTTGAAAACATTGTACATGAATAAAACTAATATATTTGTTATAACTAGGTTGTAATGAAAACAACTGTTGGTGATATTGAGGCAGAATTATGGGTCAAAGAAACTCCGAAGACATGTAGAAATTTCATACAATTATGTATGGAAGGTTATTGGGATAACAATATATTTCATACACAAGGTGGTGATCCTACAGATACAGGAGAAGGTTGTAAAATATATGGAGAGCCATTTAAAGTGAGACCATATTTAAAAGTAAAATGAATTCGTTTTTTATTCAAAAATAATTATTAGATATATGTGTTTTAGGACGATTTTCGTACAAGATTACGTTCCTATGGACGAGGTTTAATTACTGGTGGTCATGCTGGAGAAGATGACAATGATTTCCAATTCTTCTTTACTCCTAGTTCTACACTAGATTTGCAGATATAAACATACAATCTTTGGTAAAGTTACAGGAAAAGCTATATATTACATGCCTAAACTTGCAGAAGCACTTGTAGGTGAGGTAAATTTAATATTTACAAGGTAATACATCAAGAATTGATATAAATATAATATTACCTCTTTTTTGTAGAATGCTAGACCATTTTCTCCTCCAAGATTGATAAAAATTATGATATTGAACAATCCATTTTCTGATATTACACCAAGGATAATAGTACAAGAAAGTGAAGAAGCAATGGACAATTCAAAAACTAAAACAGCAGCAATAAAGTAAAAATCATATATGTTTGTAGCATTTATCCATGATAGTATTAGTCTTTGCAATGAAAAATTTTGTTACAGAGATTTCAATCTTTTATCATATGGCGCAGAAGCAGAGGAAGATGAAGAAGAATCTGCGATATTAAAGAAAAAGTCTAGTGGTATGGGCAAGTCAGCTCGCGATCACTAAACTGATCCAAAATTAAGCTCACAACCAGCTGTTGAACTACTTGTACTTGGAAATAAAGAAAGGAAGAAAGGCCGTAGTAGCGATTGGGAAAGTGACGACGAAGTAAAAGCTCCAGAAGAATTAGAAGTTATAACGAAAGAAAAAGAGTTAGTTTATTGTTTACATTATAACTATGTTATAGAAAGTAGGACTTTTTATTGACTGTCTTGTATTTATATTTTCAGAGCAATGGAGGAAAGAATAAAAAAATAAATTGAAAGACCCAAAAAAGGAACCGAAGCAAGCAGAAAATTGTAAAATAGACGATTCTGAAGATGATAAAGATATAGAGGATTATGAATAGGGAATAAAGAACTCTTTATGAAGTTTAGCACGAGAGAAAACCGAGGATATGCACGATAAGAGAGTTAAATGCAAGATACACCAATATCTAGAATTATTAGGATAACTCATGTATTTGAATAGAATTATTTGCAGTAGTGTGTATATTTCTATAAATATTGTTACATCTATATATGGTCATTATAATGATAATTATTACGTGATATGTATTACGAAACATCTTTTTCTCACAACGGTCCGCGATACGGACATATACTCAGATTCTAATGTCTATATATCATTGTTTATTATGTTGTTAACAATTAACGTTTATATGTGAAGCTTTTAAAGTAAATAAAAAATATCTAAGTATGTAACCATGGTAGTTTCATTTTCGTTTTACCATTAATAAAATCATTCGCCTTCTTCCATGATTTCACGTTCGTCGGGTTATTAATAAAGTAAAGAGGAGGGAGTAAAGTGTGTTATACTTATTTATGTCGTTTTATTGTTTTGATTCTCCCGCCCAATGCGTCACGTGATTTTAATTCTGGAACTTCGATCAGCGCCATCTATGATTTGGGCTCAAATGATCCGGAAAGTGATAGGAACATAGAATACGCAAGGAGGTCGTCTATACCTCGCCATGTGTTAGACAAGGACACAGATGGGATAGAAAAGGATAGAATGGCTCCAGCAGTGAAAAATTATTAATTATTCAATATCCGTAAATAATTTGTGAACTTTTATAATTTCATTGTAAAGCTGAAACTTCAGGCTGCATTCCTATATAATTTTCGTAAAGAATTTAGCTCTAAATTGTTAGTTATTAATTTTTATTCGATGGCGTCTATAATTTCATAACGGCGACCATCACGATCTTCCGTGAAAATATTTAATACTAAACGAAACTAGAATCAAAATGTGATCAAAAGTTATGTGAGAAGATTCGCAAGAACATTGTTTTTATAATGAGTGCATAAAGTTTCATAAATTAATTGCGTAAAGGATAGTAATTAATGAAAAACCAATGGCGTCTTCGATAATTTTCTACACCAATTCAAACAGTGTGCAGAACAATAATTAATAATTAATTAATCAGGGCCAAAGTTATATCGAAAAATATATTGGAAAGTTCGTTAAGGATCTGGCTTTACGATGCAATTATAAAAGTTCATAAATTAATCACAGATATTGAGTAATTAGTGAATTTTCCACTGACGATTTGATTTATTAAAATATATTCCGAGCACATAATCAGAGTTAGTAAATTGACATCAGAGCCATCTATGATTTTAGACTCGAAGCTCGAGTTCGGCAAGCAGAGCTCCGATGGCGCCAGGAGAGCGCTTGAAACCACGTAACGTGTTGAGGTAAATAAATAAATCAATTAAACGACAAAAATAACTAATACGCATTCTGTTCCCTTGTTTTCATTCACTTAAGAACCCCATAAAGTTTTCTACATTTTTTAATATGTTCAGTCCACGGAGTGGGTTTAATTGGACAATCAACATTCGCTTCTTTATCTGGCAGACGAGAAATCTGCAATGGTGCGTATGTCAATACAATGGTAAAAGCTCCTGTATTAATCACGGAAATTCAGTAATTTGTTAATTTTTCTCCAAGAGAACAGGAGAGTGCATAGAAAATGGGAAAAGAATTGGAAGAAAACGCAAGAAGCATTGTTGTGTTGATGGAGGTGTGGCTGCATCAAGCAAAAGAATGTAAGTTTTTGTATAAACATAACCTTAAGTTGTGATTAAGTAGTGTAACAATAAGCCATTGTTTTTCTATCTTTTATTAGTGATAACAGAGACTGGTTGTAAAATAACAATATTCTGTTGAAGTGAATGGACACGTGCAACAGGATAAAAATATTGGACTCGTGGAATATCACCAGCGTAGAGTCATTATTTTTCTTGTGGAGAAAATATTGAAGCAGTAATACAAGTATGTAAGGTTTGATATGTCCATTTGATTTTAGGTTGACTGGCCATATGACATACAGGATAGACATATTTGATGGAGAAATGAAGATTGAGAAAAAGAAGGTGGATGTGGCAGATAAAAAGGGACTAAAATTAAATTAGGTGATGTTATCTTGTATCAACATCATATGGTGAAAGGTACGTTGTGATCCTGATCCGAATAAATATTGATATCAGTGGACAAAGCCACTGACGAACGCTAATGTATTCAGTTTCAGAAAGTTGGCACTAAATTGTACAAAGAAAAGGGAAAAATTCAAGTGAAAGCATTGAGAACAGGAAATACATATTGTGTAAAATCAAGAAACAGAAAAGAGGCAGCATATCTGTAAACAGAGAAAGATGTACGACATCGATGATTGGGTCATGCAAATATGAGGATCATTGAAGAGATGGAGAATGAACAATTGGTAACAGTTATAAATGTTAAGGATAAATTGAATATAAAGTATAAATGTTGCATTAAGGCACATATGTATAGAAATATCTATAGGAAGTTGGGAACTTTAAAAGCAGCAGGAA